TGCTGTTACTTGTACATATGTACACGCGTGTTTAGTACTGTGTACACACATAATTATGTACACGTGTACAGGCCCGTAGCCAGGGAGGGTTCGGGGGGTTCGAACAAACCCCCCCTCCTGAGCCTCCCCCAAGCAAAAAAAAATTATATTTTTTATTTTATTTGCAAGAATTTCACCTCAGGTCGCTCCATTTTAGTGTAATAATTGCAAAATCTCCATCGTGCGGGAGGGTGAACAGTGAACACCCCCCTCCCACACCCTCCCCCCGCTCGGTCGCTTGGCTCCCTCGCCTGGTCGCTTCGCGCCCGAGCAGGGGCGTGTACAGGGGGGGTCCAGCTAGGGAGTCCGGACCCCCCCTTGCTCGCGCAGAAAACGCATCTTGTCCTTCAGCTGAACAGCAAAATTCAGTCAGAGAAACAAGCATGGAAACGCATCACTTCAAACGTAACATGCTAAGTAATTTGTGTGATCACAAATACGAAGTTTGTGAATTTAAGGATACTGCTAAAATGTGGGGCCCAAATGTGGGGGGCCCGGGGCACGTGCCGCCTGTTGCCCCGCGCCTTAATCCGTCTAGTGGTCGGTAATATTGGCTGCAGGTTAGCAAGAATAATGCGTTAACGGCATGGGCGTAAATGCTACACAATTTTCCTTGAATGTCAGCGTGTGGGCTGAGCATATTTGAATGAAAAAAGATGATTGTAGGCATTATCTGGTTTTCAATAAAAAAAAAATGTTTCTTAGAATCTAAAACTATGTATTAGTATCTAAAGACTAATCATCTGTGAGGGGGTCAAAGCCTTTTCGTACGCCAGATTCCGGCCTATTTAGAGAGTATTGCGTACGCCGAGGTGCGGTACGGCCGTACGCGTGATTGACAGTATAACGTAATTCCGTACGCGAAATAATTGATACTATGCATCGGGGATTGTGTTTTTTTTCTGAACTTTTCCTAGCCCATCTTTTTAATAAATGTTGGATCTTTTACGCCTGCTAAACTGGAAACGAGAGCTGTCGCCCGCACGTTAGGATGCGCGAAACAGACGGGAAATCAGTCGAATGCGCAGTCGGTTAGCCAGATCTAGATGTTAAATGAATGTATACCAAGCCGGAAGCTTAGAGTTATGCCCCCTTGTCGTGGGTTGTTGTCATTCTGGAGCTGATTTAGGCGCATTTACGCGGCGCTTTTTGGCTGGTTTTTGTCCGCTGGTCTGTTTTGCGATGAATTTCCTCCGACATGTATTTAGAAGCACGAATTGCGGCTATCCTTGCCGCGACTTGACAGGCCGACGTATCGAAGTCGGCGAAGAGTTCGTTTCGTGTAAGCGACACAAATCGGCATGTTGACTCTTTCCGGATGAAAGAAACACATGTTTAGCTGGAAGTATCAGGCGGCGCAAATCCATTTTGGAAATGTGGGGGGGCCACGCAGTAGGCGACAGCGAAGGGGGGGGTGTTTTTGGAGGCCCTCCCCAGAAAAAAAGTTTTGAAAAATTAGACGGCGCCCTCAAGATGCGTTTTCTGCGCGAGTGGGGGGGGGTCCCGGACAACGCGGTCACGGCACGACGGAACCCGGCACACGACGCGCACACAACACACCACACACACACAGCACGACACACACACACAGACAACACACACACACACACATACAGTCTACAACAACACAACACAACACACACACACACACACACACACACACAGCACGACAGCAAACATGCATTTGGTTTTGTGATAATGATTACGAACAAGGGTGCCAGCATGCCAGTCATAAAATCAAGAAATACAAAAAAGTAAAAAACCAATCATTTGTGTTGAGGCTGAGTCACAAAAATATATTGGTCCGTTATATATGTTGGTCCAGTCAATATCAAATATATGCGTGTAGCATATATCCATCAATTTGCCATATATATATATATCAATCAAAGCCGTTGCTCAGCTTACTCAGTGTGCCTCTTATGCGTGAATATAGGGCTTGTGTTTTCGCAGCTTAATCCTTGAATCCGTGTCTATTGTCGAGTGATATCTCCTAAAGCTTTCATAAACATACTTTTCTCTTGATGATTTCTAGCATAAGAAATTATTCAATATTAAAGAAAAAAAGCGTGTTAAAAAAGAAACGATTACTAAATTTATCAAGACAACATTTTTTCTCAAAGTTGTGGCATGATCATTATTATGCTCTCATGGCACTTGAATAAATGAAAAACTGGCACAGCAAAAAAGGGATAAGAAGCGCAATCGTTGACGAGGCACTAGTCACACACAATAAAAAGGTTCTCCACGCAGGCGCGCCGTAGCAGTTTTCGGAATTGGGGGGGGGGGGGGCAAAGACCTTAAGGGGGCTCACGATTTTTTTTCATCATATGTGCGTGAGCGCGTGTGCGCGCCGTGGTGCGTGACGTGTGTGACGTGTGTGCGTGAGCGCGTGTGTGCGACGTTGGTTGCGTGAGCGGCCGGTGTGCGGCGCGTGGTGTGGCGTCGAGCGCGTGTGTGCGTGAGCGCGTGTGTGCGACGTGTGCGTGAGCGCGTGTTGTGTGACGTGTGTGCGTGAGCGCAGTGTGCGCGTGTGTGGGCGACGTGGGTGCGTAAAGCGGCGTGTGTGTGATCGTAGTGTGCGTGAGCGCGTGTGTGGCGCGTGGTGTGCGTGAGCGCGTGTTGCAAGCGTGTGGTGCGTGGCGCGTGTGTGCGACGTGTTGCGGTGAGCGCGTGTGTGCGACGTGTGTGCGTGATCGCGTATGTGGGGCGTGTGTGGCGACATGTGTGCGTGAGGCGCGTGTGTGCGACGTGAGTGTGTGAGCGCGTATGTGCGCGTGTGTGGCATAGAGCGCGTGTGTCGACCGTGTGTGGCGTGAGCGCGTAATGTGAGGCGTGTGTGCGTGAGCAGCGTGTGTGCGACGTGTGTGCGTGAGCGCGTATGAATGGGCGGCGTGGTGTGGGACATGTGTGGCGCTGAGCGGCGTGTGTGCGACGTGGGTGGTGTGAGCGCGTATGTGCATGCGGCGTGATGTGCATGAGCGCGTTGGGTGCGAACCGTGTGTGCGTGAGCGCGTATATCGGCGTGTGTGCGTGAGCGCTGTGCGACGTGTGTGGCGTGAGCGCGTGATGTCCGGCGTGTGTGCATGAACGCGTGTGTTGCGGCGTGGGCGCGTGAGGGGCGCGCTGTGTGCGACGTGAGCGTCAATCACGTCGAAGCGGCGTAGCGGACAAACTTAAAAATGGATGTATAAATTTATTTTTCATTGAACGTTAGAGGGTAACAAGTCATATAGCTCAGTGAACATTTTATTTTTACTTTCGGGCGCACTCTTCTTTTGGGGGGGTCTTTTTGGTTTTGACCCCCCACTTTTTGATTGGAGGGGCGGCTCCCCCCCCCCCCCTCCCCACCACTTCCGCGCCGTCTGGTTCTCCTTAACAAACACATGAACACACACACCGCGCAGCGCACACCACCCGCGCCGCACAACTGCAACACCATACTATACACACAAAATCATGGTGATCCAAAATCGTGCGGGGGGGAGCATTTGATATGAGTCGCCCGCTCTAAAATATTCCGGGGGGGACCATGTCCCCCCTTGTCACCCCCCCTTCCCGCGCTGGATTTGCGCCCCTGCGAGTATGGCGTCAAAAAGTGGTCGCCTCTTTGGGAGTTGCCAGAGTTTTCAGCTCCAAATGCACTTCCGGAGAACTGGCTGAGAATCGGAATATCCGCAAGGATATGTACTACGCAGTGATGAAGAAGGCCGCAAATATATGTACTACCAGTATATGTAGCATGACAACAACGCCAGAAAGCAGGAGCAGGCAAGGGCCAAATCAAATCAACAGCAGATTTGCGCGATTTTCTGGGCATAAAGTCCTGCTACTTTTTCTACAATTATTTGCCTCTAACAAGCATGAAGCACGAAGGTGTATTTATTGGGCTCCACGCGAATAAATAGTGTGCAACGAATAAAGGTTATTAAATGTTGTGTATTGGACCTATTTGTTACCTGTTGCTTATGTATTAATTCGGCGTGCTGCTGCAGGTTAAATAAGTATTCAGATGCCAGCCCAATTATGGAAGTATTCAGATGGCCCACTGAAAATTAAGAGAAGTATTCCGGATGCCAAAGGGGGAGGCATGGACCCCTGCATCTGTGGCTAGCTGGCCTACTGCGCATCACCGTCCTATACCTTCGGCTGTAGTGAGCGAAAAAAAATGATCCCGAACTAAATAAATTAGCAACTGCTAACCACAGCACGTGTAAAAACCTTAGCCACGTGGGCAACAGAAAAATAAGCAGTCTCCACAATGTGAATGTTTCGGCCAAATTGAACATATCTTACAATATATATATTGAAGGATATCGGTTATGAATGGTGTGCATCAGTGCAGTATAACGCTGTAATTAGAACTGGATTGCTCGGTATGGCGTATTATTGCACAAGCGACAATTTATGGGGGCCAAGAGTGTCCATGACTGATTTCGTTACGAATCATTGATTTCGTAACGGAATCAAGTCTACACAAGTGATTTCGTAACGAAATGCAAGTATACAAAGTGATTTCGTAAACGAAAAAATCACTGAAATAAGGTACGCGCCTTAAATACCTTTTCGCAAACGAATAAGGTAGGGCGAATATAATATGCGAATCACTGAACGCCGGCGCGCCAGTGTAGCATGATTTCGGTATACGAAATGACCCGCAGTAGTTGATTTTCGTAAGCGAATGCCTTGCTGGCAGTAGTTGTTTCGTACGAAATATAACTTTGTAGACTTGATTTTCGTAACGAAATTACTTGTAGACTTGATTTCGTTAGCGAAATCATTGACTCCATGACCAGTGAATCAATTGGGCCCACCAATGGAATGATTGAAGCGCAATCATTGAGGATCATGCACAGCTTGGCGCCCAAATAGAAATTGGCATGAAAAGAATCCATAAAGGCTGAGCATAAGGTAGCACAAACAGGCAATAGGTGCGCTAAGAAAGATAATCGAATGGAAGTACACAAGAGTCAAGACCAAACAAAGACTGCCGACGTTTCTATCGAAATTAAACGAGTGAAAATTTGCGCATGAGTCATTGTATTGTCATCGAGTGCAGAAACACGTAAGTGTGTGACTTTAGGGCAACGATTTAAA